GGGGGCAGAAAGGTGCTGGCCTTTACCTCCCCTGGGCAGAAAAGGCACCAACACATCTCTGTGTTCTCCAGTCTGGTGTGTTGGTGCCTTTGTGACAATGAACACCTATCATTGCAGCAAGGTTTATTGCATCTAAAAAACTCAAGGGGTTTGTTGCAACAGATACAGACAAGACACCTGTTTTTTTTGTGCAGAATAGCCAAATTTTTATTGCACACAGCTCATTTTTATGTGGTATCAGAAGGCATCGTGTTTGAATTTAGTTGGCCAGCAATCCAGTGAACAGTTCATTGGTTGGTAACGGCTGGTGTACATGTCATCAAACTTTTTTCTTTCTAGATGTGTTTACATTCTTTCTTCACGGATTCTCACGGGATAGACTTCTTATTTTCATAGGTGCAAACTGTTTTCTTGCAAGAATAGATTGTTATGCAAAATGATTCTCATTCTTATAATTATTTTCTTATGGGAACTGAACAGGCTAGCTTACTTAGAATAGCAAGGCCTGAACTATTTTTTACAAGGTCTTTCTTTTATATGGTTTTACTTGTTGTAAAATGTTGAAAATCATTTGTTGACAAACAAGGAATGATTTTTCCCTCCATAAAATTCCAGCTTTTAATAGAATACCACACCAGTTTCTGATTGATTTTGTATAGTGCCACCTGATGTGTCTTTTCAGGGGTGGTTTGGTTCGGGTTTTTTTCCCCCTCTTCATCATTCACCGGTGACTAACCATGTCCCTTAGCACAGTGGCAGGGCACTACAGAAACAAGGTGCGAAGCAATGCTGAGGATCCAGGATGCCCATGACCTCCATTTTAGCATCTTTCTGGCAACAGTGGGGAATCCAAATGACAACATCCTTTCAAATGCACTTCATCAGTCACAGGAAGCTAGGAATTACCTTCCCTGAAACTTTGAGCATGGCATGTTTATGCATGCAAGTTACTCCTGGGGAGGTTCCTGGGGAGGAAGCAGAGGAAAATTTTCCACAATGAGAACAATCAGCCACTGGAATAATCACCCCAGGGAAGTAGTGGATTCCTTAACATTGGACACATTTGAGATTCAGCTGGACTGGGTGCTGGGCCAGTCTTGTCTAGATTGTGCTTTTGCCAGGAAAGGCTGGTGCTGGATCCTTGAGGTCCCTTCCAAACTGGGATTCCATAAGTTTATGAAATCAAACAACATGCTCCCTATGCTCTGCCGAACCTTTTCTGAACATAACACCCAAGGGGAGCTTCTAGAGAAAAATTGAGACCTATCTTCCTAGAGTCACTGCTGTTTTTCCATCCCTCAGAGCTGACCAAGCAAGGACTCATAGGACCAGCTCTGCCTCTAGGAGAGCAAGTAGCACTGGCCAGTGACAGAGTGTATATAAAATGCTGCAAGACAAAGTTTATGAGGCAGGTGTTGTCCAAGTTGTGGAGCTCCCCCAACCCTGACACTGGCTGGTTGCTGCCAGGCCACACAAAGCTTCAGCAGGGGAAACAGGACCCTTTGTGGACAAGTTACTCCCTCACTAAGGCCTGCAAAGAAATCAGATGCCGATGGACAAGAAAAGCTTCTAATGGCTGAAGAAAGGTTTTTCACAAAGTACTCATCTGCACCCAGAAGACCCAGCTCTCACCCATAATCCAAGCACACAGTAGAGGCGGCCATTCGCCTTCACCCCTCCACACACAGCTCTGGAAAAGGGCTGTTTCTTTTTGCTCACGTGCAAGAAGCTGCTTTTCTCTAACTCTGGCCAACTTTCTTTCCACCCAGAGCCTTGCAGCTCATCACTAGTCTGATTAGTCACCATGCATTTCTACACGGAATCACCTGGTAAGGAGTTTTCAGAAGAAAGACAGAAAAAGGCAAGTGACTAGCACACAAGGCAACCCTACTCATTGTACCTTCCTCCAACGTGTCTTGTCTTTTGGGGAATTTGGTACTGTCTTGGGGTGATTTTATGATTATTTTTAATTCCCTAATCCTCTGCTTTATGCCCAGACAATGAGTGCTGCAGCTTTAATATGGACCTGGAGGTAGGGTGGGGAGCCTTGGGTTCCTGCGCAGCCTCTGTTCAAGCTCTCTCTCTGGGTGCTCCCAACAGTGTGGACCAGGACACTACATTGTTCCTTTTCTTGGATTGCTGTTTCCACCCCTCCACACCCCCAGCTAGCATCCAGCAAAAGAGTTTTTCCCTTCTGTCATGGGTTGGCGCTGGCGCAGTGCCAGTGCACCCATGAAAATATATTTTTCTCAAATGGCTGCTGTGAGATGTGACCAGAAACGGAGCAGAGCAGGCTCAAGCTTAGAAATAAAAAAAAAAACTTTATTAACCTACACTATAAAAAAAGGAACACACAAAATTCAGAATGAAAACCTTCCAAAACATTCCTCTTCCTCCCACCCAATTTCCACCAAAGCAAAGTGAGACAAAACCTTGGATTCTCAATCAAGTTACCACCTGTCAGATAATCAATTCTCAGTTCATCAAGGGAAAGAAGAGTCCCTCTTGTACCATAGTCTTCCACAGGAAACACAGCTGAAACCTCTTATGTTTCCATGTCACACATGGCACCGCCCGGAGAAAATCTGCCATTGTGACATCCTCCTTCCATGTACACTGCTCTCACCACCGTGCATGGACTTGTTGCCCGTGAAGAAGACACGAAACAACCAGAGTCGTTTTATGCAGTGCTTTATTGAGGGCCCTGGGAGCCTGAGGACTAATGTCCAAAGTCAGAGCCCCCCGAGCTGACAAACTCATTGTGTTTATATAGGGTCTATATCAACGGTTGCTTGATTCAACACATATTTGTCTACGTTACACTCCAACAATCATTTATTTACAAGTTAATTCTTGTTAAAATTGAACATTCTTTATGGTCATAAATTCTCTTCACTCTGTTAGGTATGACCAATGTATTCCCCTAAGATTTACCTATCCATCTTGTAGATAATGACGTGTTCTACCACGGCTTATTCTTGGAATGTATTCTGAGATAGGTTTCTACCTTCTCAGCATTCCACACTACCTTTACTTAACAACAGTTTCTAACAACACACAGCCCATGGCCTACTATGAAATTCTAAGCCTTAGCCGAACTACTTCTACTAAACTCTTATTAGTCTGAAATGCAACAGACTGAAACTGCTCATAGGGTTCCTTTTAAGGATGCTTTGCCAAGTACCAAAAAACAATTTCTCACTTTGGGACAACAGTCTCCCCCATTTTCTCCTCCCATGGGGCTGAGGGTCTTGAGAACAGAGATCTTCTTCCCTGAGGACAGAGGGCACCACCACACCCTCCTCAGCTTTTCCCTGTTCACTTCCCTCTTGCACATGACAACACCGCAGCAGGTCATTCTCACTCCTGCACTGGCAGTCACTGCAGCAGGTCACTCTCGGCTCAAGCCATTGCATCCCCCTAAGTGCAGTCTCTGTATTATGGCAAAATTGTTCAGCCTATGGCTATACAAGAAAAAGTCCAGCCAAGGCCACTCCATCATCTCCTCCCACCTAGGATTCTTTCCCATCTTCTTCTGACATTTCAGGCCCCAGGCTGTCTCTCTTCTCTTTCAGATCAAGGAGGATTAGTGTCTTGCAAAGTTTTCTTTGTCCATGAAAGCGTTAAAGTCTTGGGCTCTGCTGCCCCCAGAACGGCTGAAATCTCACAGCAGCCTGCCCAGGACTCCCATGGCTGGGCACCTTCCCCCCGCTTTCTCTTTCTCCTCTGCTGGCAGTATGCCGGCACATGATACCAAATTTCAAGGTGGCACAGGCTCTCTGTCTTTGTCACTGTCTCTGTCTCTGTCTGTCTCCCTCTGTCTGTCTCTCCCTCTGTCTCTGTCTCTCTCTGGGAGGGCTGCCCGGGACATCTCAGTGTTTCTCCACCCCTCCGTCCTGCAGGGGCTGGCCTGGTTCCATTCCCTTCAACCCCTTCCCTGTCCAGGGCTCCTGGCCTACCTCTCCTATGCCGCATGGCTTCCCCTTCCCTGCCCAGCCCGAGAGGCCTTAACTATTCACTGAGCTATTCACTGAGCGCAGCTAAAGAGACAGTTCCCGTGGGTGTTCTCTGCTTTTAACCCTGTGTTCTCAGAGGCGTGTGTCCATGTCTTCAGTGGTTACACCAGGTGTCAGTATTCAAATCTGACCACTGATTGGTTTGGCTATAACTTCACGAGAAAACTCACTTCCTTGTCAACCTATGACACTACACCCCTAGAGAGTTCCCCTGGGAGTGCACTCACAGCCAAGTGAGGTTTCTCAGTGAAGTTAAAAGATGAATTTTCATGGGCGAACTGGCACTGTGCCAGAGCCAACTCATGACACCTTCTCTTCCCCTAGTCTGGAGGTTGTACCAGGAATCCTCTCAGTGATTTCTTTTTCTGCGAACTGTTTTGGCTTGGCTTTTTTTTTTTTTCCTTTCTTCGGCTGCCCGGGGAGCTGGCAGGACCACCCTGAACCTGGGACCTCAGAGGAGCTGAACCGACACAAGAAAGGACATTTAAATCCACCAACTTTGACTGCTGCTAGGAGAAGACCCATGCCAGAAATCCAATGGGTTCCCAGCTGCCGTGAACTCTTTTCTCCTCCCGTCCCCATAGACAAAGAAGGGTGGTCACCATCTTTGCCTTGGCCATGTTTCGAGGTGGGGGTGTGGTGTAAGGTTTAAACTTTTGTTTTTCCTTTTCCTTTTTTTTTTTCCCTGTGCTTTGTGGGCACCCTTATTGGTTTTTATTTCTACTGTTAATAATTTTTTTTTTTTTTTTAATTTTCACCCCCATGTATTGTGAAGAATGTTTTTGTGATTCGTGTCAACTGGCAATGGAATCAGTCGAAAGTGGATAACGACAAAGAACGGTTTTGAAACTTTCTGACCAAATAGCCAAATAAAGCATAGAACAAGAAAAGAGAAGTAGTATAGTAGAATAAAGAGATGAGGTGGCAAAACCAACTGATGCTTAGAATAAAATAGAGGAAGTTGTGGTAAAGCTAAGGGATATTGCAACAAAGCAACTAAATACTTATGTACAATAAAAAGCTTAAGGCACTAGTAACAGACAAAAATTATGTAGCAGACACGGGTGAAAGGCCTCCTTCCAGACAACCACAAGCAGGACAGGAAACCAGTGATCACCTGGAAAGATTATGAAATTGCTGATCCCAGCTTATTGATATTTTCTGATTCGGACTAACACAAGCACACTGGAAAATGCTTTGTAGGCTTAAAAGCAGTATATATATTCTGGTGAACTTGTAGTGGCGTGTGCCATTAGTGGAGCGGGGACTCCCTGGTCACCCAGCGCTGTTTGCTTGCTTTCTTTAAAATAAAATAAAGAAAAATACCATTCGGTTTGGCTGTCGAAATTTTATATCAGTATCCATTTCTCTCATTGGCAGAAGAAAGAGGAGTTATTGAAGCCCTCTCTCTTTAGAGAAAAACACTAATTTTAGAGTGTTTTTCTCCCAGAATTTGTCTCCAAACTGAGACCAGTACTCACAGGAGCTGCTCTGTGTGATGGCAATTGCTTGCGTCTCTAATGGGGGAGTGTTTGGGTTTGGTGTTTTTTCTTTCTTTCTCTTACAGGATTTTGTCCCATCTGTCTCTAAGATTGGTACTTAAGAGAGACAAAAGAAGTTGCCAAGCTCAGGGGAGGAGAGCACCTGGCTGCACTTCTCTTACCCTCTACTCCGAGAGGGTTTCTCAGAGTAGAACCCACTCTCCAGTTTCTCAGAAACCACTCTGCTGCCTCCTACCTTTGAGTGGAGCTCTGCTCCTAAGAGCGGCTGTTGCACTGGGGCCTTATTAGCACCCTTCCTCAGCAAACACAGGACCCTTCACCATCTGCTTAGGTGCCTCAGGCGAAACCCTGGGATCCCTGAGCCCCTTCCCTCTCCAAGGGAGCCTCTCCCACCCCAGTTTGCGAGCCAGTCTGCTGCTGCTCAGCCGCTGCTGTGCCTCGGCTACTGCTGCAGAGTGTTTTTGCAAGACTGTAACCCCACACCCCTGCCTGCCAGGACACCCTGCAACTCCTGCTACAGCTGTTGAGTTTCTGCTGCCTCGCTTGCTATCCTGAGTGAGCTCGTTCCTGCTGTTTCAGCTTGCCACTTCCAAGGTTCCTGCTGGGGCACTGGGATAGGCTGCCCCTGGAGGTTTTTGGAGCAAGCCCTTTCCCATCCCTTCCACCGGTGCGTGCACCGTTACAATGGGAGTGAGACGGCCGAGCCTGCGCCACAGCGCCACCCGCAGCCGCGGCGGCGCCAGCGCATCCACCCTGCCCGCCCGCAGCCACCAGCGCCCCTGCTGGCCGTGCCCGGAACTGCACCCAGGGGAAATGGCTGGGACTGGGTCTCTGCATCTGTTTGCGGTTCATGCCAGAGGTGTTGTTTGCTTGCATTCGTATCCATACTAGTAAAGAACTGCTGCTCCTTTGCCCATATCTTTGCCTGAAAGACCCTTAATTTCAAAATTAAAATAATTCAGACAGAAGGGGGTAATAGTCTCCATTCCAAGGGATGTTCCTGCCTTCCTTGGCAGACACCTGTCTTTCAAACCAAGTCAAGGTGAAAGCTCTGGTTGAGACACAAAAAGCGTTTCAAGAAGTGCTCCAAAAAGACAGAAACCACACAGTCCTCCTCATTCCATTGCTAAGAAGCAACTCTGGCCAATGAGGAACTCTCAGGGACAATGAACACCTCCAAAACTACACGCACACACCCCTCAGCGTTCTCCATCCAAACCAGATCAGTGTTACTTTACACCTCTGCAGAGCTGAGGTGCACACAGGACATTCTCTCCATTTCCCCAGCATTTTAGTCCACAGCAACTATCAAGAATTGGCAAATTTCCCAGACTCACTTGGTTTCTCCCAGAGTGACCCTCGCTGCCACACTGTCTTTACTTTCCCGCAGGCAAGAACATCCATCATCTGCTGTTCCTGCTGTTCTTGGAAGCAGATGCAAAGGGAATGTGGCAGAGAGCTTGAAGGAAAAATGTAGCCTCACCAGAAGAAGTGTGCTGGCATGAATTACCCAGCTGAAAGCTCTGGGAGAAATTTCAAATATGCAATGTATAAAAAAGGGATTAAGCTGGCCATAGAGAGGGGAAGGGTAATGTTGTGCAAAATGAAACTAATGTCCTTGTATTTCTGCTCGAAGAAACAGCTGAAAGTGAAGAGGAAGACTTAGGGGAACATCTGAGACATCAAGAGGCTTAAATGCAGGACGGAGGTGTCATGACAGGGTTACAGGCAGGGGACAGGTTCTTGATGGCAGCTAGAACGACCTTCAAGATTTGACAGAGACATCCCTTTGTTGTACAGAGGAAGAAAAACTTCCTCTGTGTGGTGTGTGGTGCAGAGCTGTGGGGCAGTCTCCACCCCTGATTTTAAGAGCTCAACAGGAAAATGCCCTGAACCACTTGATAAAGCTTTGGAGTATACCCCACTTGGAGCCAGGAGTTTTGATCCCCTCTGGAGGCATTCTGAGCCTGTGGGTTTTAGAGGTATTACTAAAACCTGATGTTACACACAGACTTGCTTAACAAATTTACAGAAACAAATTCAAGAAAAAAGCAGCTGCAGAGCATTGCCCAAAAGGGTTTGAGAATGAAAAACTTGTTTTACTGGCACTTAAAAAGTTCTTGGCTTGCTCTTCCTAGCAAAAAACCTTGGTACAAGATAAAAAAAATTAAATACATTAAAAACAAGAGCTACAATTGGAAATGAGAAGTTGCACAGAACAGAGGAGAAAAAACCAAACCTCAAAACAATTGCACTTTCCTAACATGAGAGAAGTAGGGAATCAAACAGTGCCACAAAGCTCAGGAAGTATTTAAGAACGGTTAGCTCCATACTGGTGCCCTCAGGGTGTCAGAAATTAAAGCCTGTGTGCAGCAGCAGCTCTGAACTGCAATATAACAAAATCTCCTTCTTTAGAATGTCTGTCTTCTGGGAAGGACAAAGACTTCTTTCACCTTAATAAAAAATGCACCTTCTCCAGACAGATTATTTTCATCAGAAACTGCAGTGTATCATCACAACAAAAAAACCTCCAGTATGTATGAGGAAATGGAGACTGGTGGAGCCTGTTCCTTTGCTTAAGAAATGCTGCCCCTCTGTGCAGGAAGGTGTATGAGGATAGGGGAATACTCCTTACCTTTATTTATTGTGGGATGTCAGGCCCAGATTCTGGATGGAAGCAGTCAGTCTCACTGCGTGCTCTGCCAAGTGCCTGGAATTCAGGTAATAAGCAAAAGCCTTTCTTCTCTTCTGTGGTGTGTAGAAACCTGGGAGTTCTTCAGGACTATAAACAATTACTACCAAAGATTTTTGGTGCAACAGATATTTAATTTGGAAGGGTTTGCTGCAAAACATCTATTACACATCCAGGTATCAACCCCAAGGGTCCATTCCACCTGACCTCCCTGATAATGGGTACCTCTTCCTTTACACCATATTTACAACCATCTGGCTTGCACGGGACTCCAGTTTCTAAACATGAGTCCACAGACACTTTGTCCTCAATCAGGCCTGAGAAGCTGCTGACCAGCTGACAAACTCTGACTGAGTCCCCTTGGTCACAAGTGGCTTACCAGGAGCTGGCTGCAGCTGGAGGATAAGGGACAGGTGTCTTCCTTGCTGCAGGCAGAGGGCAGATGCCAATCAGTGGTGTAGGGCTCCAAAGGCTCCAAATAGCCTCTCTCTAATAATTAGAAGTCTCTAATAATAAAATTACCTGGTAGAACAAATTGATCAAAACAACACTGAGGGAGTGACAAAAGAACAGGGGTCACTTTATTGTCAGGCAGAGGAGGAGTCCTTCTGATGCTGTAATTATGTCTCAAAGAAACAGCAGCAAAAGTGAGTGATAAAGTGACTGCAAGCAGAGAACCCAAATGCCAACATTCTTCCTCTGATGCTCACAGCCCACTGTGAGCAGTTCAGAAAGTGATCCTCTTCTAGAAGGACCCTCAGCCTCTTAGCTATTACCATGGAGGCAGTTTCACCCTCTTGCAACAACCTCCTGTTCAGGAAGCTCACTGCAGGTGCCAGTGCCAAATTTCCAAGTTCCACTGAGGTTCCATCCCTCTACTCACACTCATACAAGGACATCTTCCATAGCTCCAATTCATGGCTTGGCTTTCTTGAACTCAAGTTCAGTATCTTCCACAAAAAATCCTGACCCCCCTCTGCCACAACTCAAGGCTTATTTTTTAATTGCTACCAAGTTCTTGCTGAAGAACCAGTAAGCTAAGCTGGGTGGTCCGAGCTCCCAGGTTTAGCATATGAACATACTTGAGTTGCAAAAAGGGTACTCACACTTCTACATCACTAAAAACACCCATTGTATCAGGCATGGTTCCCATTTCTTTTAAAAATAAATATTTATAAACAAAAGGAAGAGATTCAGAGAACTACAAAGTTAAAAATTTTCCTGCCAACAGCACAAATGCTTCTCATGTAAAGTCAAAGGAACAAGTTGTACAACATGAGCACTGTCTAAAAAACTCTCTCCTCATCAGCTGCCCCATTCCACCTGCACAGAGATCCACATCTCCCTTTGCAGCCAGCTCTTCTGCACTTCTCCAGGACTTGTACTGGAGCTGCTCAGTCTCCTTTCATGATCAAGTCTTCAATATATGCATCCAGTTCATCATCTGTATTAATATCAATGTCCTGAAACCAAGCAACAATGAATACCAGTGAGAAGTGAATAATGAAGAACAGGGCAAGAAAAGAGGAGCCAGAGCAGCTTAGCACCTTCTGTTACATCTGGTGTGCACAACTTCTATGCCCCAACATCCAGCACCCTCCAACTGCTAACAGCTGTAGTGACAGCACCCCTAACTTTCCCTGTCAGCATCCAAAAGACAACACAGGAAACCCATCAGCACCTCATGCTCAAACAATTCACTCAAGTGATGGATTTACTGTACTGATTCTGGTCGAGGCAGGTTTGGTTGGGGTTCTTTTAGATTTAGCACATTTTCCTAACAGGGAGAAACTGCTTCCAGATGCTTTCAGTAATTTTTCCAGGTTGATCCTGATTTTATTAAAGTAGTTTTTTAGTTTAAAGTTAGTTTATTTATTTAAATGCTTTAATTATATATTTTCTATTTTAATTTCATAGTATAACTAATACATCAATTTTACCACAATACTTTTTTATATTGTTTGTTTAAAAGTTTGCATTTCTGTATGTGGAGTTCAGAATCTGCCCGAGAATGTGGCAAAAATTCCCTGATGTGCACTGCCTATGACTGGGGAAATTCTCAAGCAGCCTCACAGCAGAGAACAAACAGAACCTGTGCATTACATCCACACAGTGAGAAATCATTCTGTGAGAATTAACATACATCAGACTTCCAGGGCCTGGATCCCGAGTGCGGGCAGTGACAGCCCGAGCTGTTCCCAACTGAGGAAGCTGGAGCCCAGTGAGATGCTGGACTGAAACACTTGTAATGCCTGGAGGGGATGAGCCAGGTGGCTACTCTGAGATAGCTCATGGTTTGCTGCTACTCCTCACCCACCTCCTGCACTTTCTGCAGAAGGGCCATGATATTAGTCCTCAACTTCTGCAGTTTCTCTTCTGTTTCCCTCAGCTTCCTTTCTAAGTTCCGGAGGTTTTCCTCACAGGCTTTGGCCCGGGCATCGGCACGTGTCTGATATGAATTGCACAGATTCTGCAGACCCACCTCATACTGCTTAAAATATTCTTTCTGTAGTAGACAAAACACAACAGATGTCACATTAAGAGAAAGCATCAAGCATCACAAAAACATGAGCAGTCACAGGCTACAGAAGATCCAAACTCCTGAACCCCATGATCAAATCCTTCCTGCAGTGTGTCCCTGCACACCCTGCCCATGCTCGTATTTACATCTGATTTGCCTACACCAGCCAGCACAGAATTACACAGCTTTTCACATTCTTCCAATACTAGAACTGCCCCCAAAGCTGCTTGAATTTAGATTAAGGGTGCAGTGTACTTTAAAAAGCAAGAACCCACAGGTACGCTGCAGGCCTGATATCCCCTGTAAACTGTGAGTATCCTTGGTAGAGATCACACAGACAACACAGCCTCTCAGGGCAAGGTAGGGACAGCTACACTCACCAAAAACCCCAGACACAACAAAGGTGTCCTATGGAAGAAGCAGGAATGGTAACTCCAGCAAATGCCAGCAGATGCCTGAGTTAACAGAAGGGGAGGAGACAAGAGAGAGACTGCCAATACACACACTGCGAGTCTGAGAGTGCAAAACAGAACTGGCTTTGGTCATGTGCTCATCTGCAGGTGGCTTTTTAGATGTACCTCCTTGGAAAGGTCTCTCTTGGTGGTATGCTGGAGAAGGAAAAGTAAGAGATGCCAGTTCCCTTGCCCTGCATTCCAGCCAGCACTGGTCCTCCCAGTACCAGGCTGCTGGTGGAAGCTCAGTCCCACCTGTCCTGTGCTCAAATGAACAGATGTCAAAAGTCTTAAGGTGTGCAGCTGACTTGCTGGCAGTCAACCTGCTCTCCAGGGTAAGTGGGAAGGGGCTGGCTTCCATGTCCTCTCACACTAAAGTAAATGGCCAATAAAGGCATTGAATCCACACTAACATTGTGGTTTCGATCCCTGTATGGGCCATCTACCTAAGAGTTGGACTCAATGATCCTTGTGGCTTCCTTCCAACTCAGAATATTGTGTGAACCTGGGGATAATTATTTGTTATTATTTATAATTTTTAAGATTGTCTCTAGGTAAATTATAAGGCTGGAAGCAAAACAAACAGGTATGTCTACCTCCTGCTCCTACAAACCTATAACCTGGTCTCTCTTTTTTAGAAGTTTAACAGCAATGGTTAAGAATTTAAGATAGTAGCAGCCAACAGCATTCCCACACACATGCATGGTAATTAGAAAAATCCTCAGACAACTCTTACAAGAATCACAGCATCTCTCAGAGCTCTCATTCTTTTCCTCAGCTATGTTAGTCTGCCAAGGATCCAATGTATCTTTTCAAGAGTGCACTCCTGCATTAGAGCAAGACGCACATTTGCCATAAGAATGGAATATGTGTGGGGAAAACACTTAAACTTACTTTTCTAGAAGTATTGAACTCACCAAGGGAAATGCCAACAACCCTTCTGAGCTCATGGAACTCAGCTCATTCTTGGAGATTGGAAAACTTGGAGGCAAGAAGTATCGCAAACAATTCCTGTGCAGGAAAACAAAATGCAAAGCCAGAGTTGAAAGTTTAACAGACTGAAGCAATCAGACTGCATAGCTCACAAGATCTGCAGTGAACCCACCGAAGGATCTGGACTAGCAAGTCAACTGTTTCATGGCTGCTGCTGGGACCAGTGGTGTCAGGCTCGATTCTGACGCAATCTGAGGTAGAAGGTTCAGCCATGACCACCTCCTCTTCCTGCTGTGTGTCTGGAGCCTGGTATTCAGGAGAGGGAGGCTTCATAAGCCTTACATCCTCACTGCCCTTCTCTACCCTGAGAAAAAGTATTAAGGGAATGTCAGGAATCTTTTTTTACATTGGACATACCCGAAACATGGTTAACAGTTTCATCAGAACCTGTACCCAAGTGTCACACAGCCCTCTAGATACACATCAGCTGCCTCCAGGGCAGACATCAGTGACAGACTGATGGGAGTCTGTCATGCCCATTCCTTATGAAGCCATGGACAGTCCTGACCTCATATGTTTCCTGACATGACAACAGCATATTTGTCTTCAGCATCTATGGCAAAAAAACAGGCCCTTCCTCCCAAAAAAACCCCAAGCCTCCAAAATCCAGTAGCTCAAGATAGTTACCAGCGATCCCTTGGTGTGGTGTCTGTAGGGACATAATCAAACTTCACCTTCCACCGGATTGCATGCCTGACCCTTTCCACAGCCGTGACACGGCCTGTGAACCATTCCTTGTTCACACGCACTTCCACATGCAGCCCCTTATCTGTGAGGGTGAAGCAAAGGTGTTTGTAAACATTCAGCTGCTGGAAAGCACATTCTACAGGAACTCTAGAGATTCAGGCACCTTGGCAGGGAGCATGCCTGAACCTGTGACAATGCCCTCAAACAGTACAGACACTATCAATACACAATGGGTACACAGGTCAGCTCCTGCTGAGAAACTTGAAGATGCATGGAAATGAGCTGGCAATTCCAGATAAAAGGTTTCTCTTGTACTCCAAGCTGTTTGACATTGGCTTTACAGTCTCATGATGGACTCTAGAACAATTTGCTACATGTTCCTAGTGGGCCAGTTTCCAGACAGCTCTCTGGAAGCATGCTGAAAAGATGCCCTGTTCTGGCAGATTGTACACCACCACCCCAGCTATCACCTTTCCTGGGATCTCCCAGTCCCTCTTCTCTCACAGCAGTGCAGCAGATCTGGATGCAGTCCTGAGCATTTTGCAGCTGGCATGGCTGCATGGCTGCATGATCCACTCAGGATGGGTGAACATGCCATCAGCTACACCCTGCAGCCCAGCCCCATCCTTGACAACATGATACAACCATACATCACAGACCTTTCAACGCCACAATTGCCATTGGTTAATCAAAGGGTTCTCAGCCAAAATGTTTCATGCAAGTTAGAGTAATCTTGGGGTTTGGAATTCAAATTTACATTATTTTTTATTTTAAAATCTCATTAATGAAATCACACATTTAACTGGTGCAACAGTTCTTTTCTATGTCAATACTGGTGGCAGCACAAGGGCCCATTTCTCACCTTTCTGTGCTTTCTTCAGTTCCAACAACTCTTCCTCTCCAGCACTGTCTGTGAGCTGGGAGCAGAGAGAGGTCACATTAGTTGCCTCCCATCAAGATTATAAACACCTGACAAATACCTTCTGCTGGGGAAACCAGCACACTCTTACCTCCACCACCACCTCATTGGAATCCTTCTCTTCTTTCACTGCTGAAAATTTTCCTCGTTTTGTCCTCTCCTTTTTGGGCTCACCCTCCTCCTCAGACCCATCCTCTGGGATGTTCAAGGCCCTCTTTCGAGTGCTGGAGGCCTGAAGGAAGCAAACAAGCTCTAGCTATTAATTCCAGCCTGATTCCAAACAAAACCTTCTTGCAGCCAAGTTAAAAAAACAAAAAAACCAGAACAAAAACAAACCCAGCATCTAGTATTTAATTTGGTAGTTAATGAGCTTTTCTGGAAGGTTTTAGAGGTACTACATCATCATGCAAACACTCACCCCACCACTCTGCACACTTTTTTCCCCTGGTCTAATAGGAAAGAGATGAGACCAGTCTTCTCAATGGGTGTAAATGGCACCCTAACCAAAGAGTAAAGTAGAAGTTCTCTTGTCCTGAGCAGTGCCCACAGTGCACGTATCACAAGACAGAACAGACAGGCTTACAGGACAGTGGGTGAGGAGCTAAGGGGTTTTATCCCATTGACTCTTACCTGTAAAAATCTGCCTGAGGCAGATTTCCTTACTGTTGGCACCTTGGCTACTTTTGGATTGGGTGTCTCACGTGAGCTTTTGGGGCTCTGCAGGCCAGAGAGCGACTTCATGCTTGTACTTTGTTTAGCAAGAGTTTTTAAAGTGCTGTTAGACTTCCCAGCTGTCACAGTGTGATGGTGTGTCCTGGAAGTGCTGGCCTCCTCCTTGAAGAGCATGCTGGCTAGCTTGGGGGAGCTGGTATTTGGACGATCTGAAGAGCTCTTTTTCAGCTGAGTGCAGGATTTGTGAGGAGGTGAAGATCCTGGTGGCCTGCTGGGAGCATTCTTGATTACATTAGGCAAAGGAGGAGATCGTGGGCGCTGAGTTCGGGTGTGCTGAAACAAAGGAAGGTAGAGAGAAGGGAAGGGTAGAAGAGAGGGGAACTGCTCTTCAGAACAGCTAAAGAAGTACAAAAGAGTAAAAAGCCTACAGCAGAACCCCATTTACCTCCCTTGAAGGCCGTGTGGTCACTTCCAGAGGCAGTTTCTTTAAGTCAGTCTGAGATAGAATTGGAGTGGTTTTCTAGCCAAAAAAAAAAAAAAAAAACCAACAAAGTCAGAAAGTTCATGTTTACAAGCTGCCAGGGGCTGCCTGAACCCATTCCAGTTTTCCAGGCTAAAACCAACAATTATATGGTGTGTTTTCTGTCCTTCAAGATACCTCCCTTCAGCTGTCATTTCCATTTTCCCAACAGAAAATTAAATGCAAGTTGAGATGGTCCATTTCTGTTATTAGAACAGCCCCAGTCTCATGAAGGAGCATAGCTGATTTCAGAGTCAGCAGCAGCCTTTTGCACTAGGAAATCCATCACACCTGCTCTGCTTAGCTGGAGACCTCCAGACTCACCTGCAGAGCTTCCAGCTTTTTCTGCTGCTGGAGTATTTTCTCTGTCAGTTGTTTCTGCTTTTCCTCATTTGATTTCAAGTCTTTTTTTAGAGTTCCCAGTGGTACCTTCTGCTTCTGCTCTGCAGCCTCACATCTAGCATGGAGGGAATGCAAGACAGCCTCAGGAAGGACAGCAGAACCTGTATAATGTCATGCACAATTATCCCAACATCCCATTCCAAATGCAGCAGGAAAGCCACTTGCCTTTCTGCAGTAGCCACAATCTCAAAAGCAGTGGTGTTCATCTTGGAAAACAGACATGAATTAAGGATCAAAAGCATAGTTGCTAATAAAAAGGCATTTATGCTGGGAATCACCAATTCAGAGCCCAGGAACTGTTGACAGTTTTGACAGCTTCTGTACTGCATCTGTACTCCAGATTTTTCAGCAATTTTCATTCCTATCAGCTTATTTCTTCATATCAATTCTTCTTTCTACAAACTTCTTTCCCTTCATAAAGGAACGCACAGTACCAGAAACCCATGACTAAGACGTTACCACAAGCCTTCCAGTCTCAGATACCTTCTGCCTTGCCATTCAAGGCCAGACAGTGTCCTTTGCAATATCCTGTAGCTATTTGCTTGTCCTTTGCTTTCCTGTAGCTGTTCAGCCTATGACCTACAACAGTGGTGATCATCCTACTCTCCCAGGTCCTCTCAAGTGCAGAATCCTAGAAGAGTCCTTGAGAGAGAAGGAAAACAGAGATAGGAAGTACTCTCTCAAATGGACTGGCATCACCTCTGAAGTGCTGGATGAGCAGCTGGCCCTCAGGAGCATTGCCAGAGGAGGAAGAGGGGACTGAGCCCAGGCTCATCTCCTATCACCTAACAGAGTCATGGAAAGACAGACAAGGATCAGCGCTGCTGAGGTGAAGTCATGGAAGAATGATTTGAGACAGGAAAGCAGCAGATAGCCCTTTTACAACACAAGAGATCCAGCAGAGCTCACTCAGCACTGGAAACAAGCTGGTAACCTGCAGATGTGAGTCTTACTAGTAAAGGGAGAACCCTGCTCTCACTGTAGAACACTCAAAGCCCCAAGAAGCTGGAGAGAAATGATTCTAAAAAGATCTCTATCTAGATACACACAATCAGCTTTTTGAGTGAGAAGGAGCACAAGCAGCAGTTTCTCCATCAGCCTCTGCCCTGCTGAAGCACATTCCATAGAGTGGTTACTTCCTTGGCTAAGGAATTGTGTGTCATCACTGCAAAATGACTGCCTGACAAGAAAACTGCAGTTCCCAAAGATGAAGTTGAACAAATGGCACCATAAACAGGCTTCCCAGCACAGAAATGCATCTTCCAGCTCACGGCAAGGCTGTAAGCATTGCTAAGCTGTGTCTTACAGCACAGTAAAGAACAAAAGCACCTTGAGTTCTGAAGAAAAATTCATGGCATCCAAACCCAGAGGCTGCATCACTGGAGACAGCAAATCAGAACAAATGTATTATATTGGTAGTCAGAATGGACTAAACCCAAGATTCTGATAGTGCTCAAGGACCTTTGAGACACACAGTCATCTTCAGCTGGTGCTTCAGCCACCCATTCAAACAACATTTGGGATCCAACTGGGTATCAGATAGGAGAATAGAGGCAAGCAAGCCTGACATTATTTCACAGTGTGAAACAGGGACACTGCCTTCTCTGTAAGAAAGTGAGCGATGGTGGCACCTGGTGCTGACCTCAACACAGGCAGTGGCACTGGAGGGAGTGACTGCTTCCCATGATACAAACTGGGAAGGGCATTCAGTTCCCATGATCTGGAACACCATGCCACAAGCAGACACTGAAGTGTAGGTGGACAAACCAGAAAGGCGGGGAACAGCTCAGTGTCAATAGTAGACACTGTGCCAAGGCAGCCAAAACTATCATATGATCTCTGATGCCAGGAGAGTCTCAAAACCTGATATTGCTCTGACATTGCTTCATTTCCAATTTGGCTGGATGAGACTCTGCACAAAGCCTCACAGTACACAACCTTGAGGATGCCACCCATGTGCTTCTCAAATCCTGTCATCCTTCAGACACTACAAATACCTGTAATGGTCACGACACAGATATGAAGGTGTCCAAACTCTGCACAAGGACCCAACAGTGCAGCACTTGGAATTTGCCCCAGCCAAAAGCCAGAGGACTGCTGGATAAACTTCTGCTTCATATAAATGACACAACTGCACTCACTGCTGGAAAGCACATGTAAGCCTACTTAATCAAAAAATGTCCTGGAGTTATTTATTCTGCCAGAGTAAGACTCCTGAGATCACTTTTGAAGCTAAAATTACCAGAAGTTTGGCTCACCAGTGCCAAGTGCCCCACCTGCCCTTTCCCAGCTTCCTGCATGGGGGATGTAGGATGGCACAGCATGGAGTGCGGAGGTACTCAGACTCACTCCAAACAACACCTCAACACGTTCTCACATGAAAAGCAGCCACCCACCCCCACCCACCCCCAGTTTTCAAGGTATTGCAAATAAAAAAATCTAAATTCTTTCATCAGGAAATCAAGTTGCTGCTAGGTGATGCAATGAAGACTCCATCTGCAGACAGAAGTGCAGGAATATAATGGCAGGTGAAGAGACCTGAATAATACCCTTCCATGGCTACCCTCAGGCCATCCCAGGAACTGCCATCCCAGAAGCTACCAGCCCATCTATGGTCCATTTCCACAAGCCCAGAGGTCCAAAGGCAGCTAGGGGAATGTGAACTGGGCTTTTGGGGAACTGTGGAATGCAAATCTGTTCAGAGGAATAGAAACCCCTTTTAGGGTCCTGCCAAGACTGTCCTACAGCCGCCTCTGCCCTGGTGTCTGGTCAATGGGGGCAGCCCTCTGAAACATCTTTTGGACTAACACGAGGAAACAAAAGCAAAGTAAAGGAAAGGACTGAGATTATTTGGGAAGAATAAATATGGGAAAAATAAGACTATAACAAGGGCCAATTGTACATAAACGTTTGGCTGGTCAGTACACCTCTGTGTACTAATCTCCATGCCTCCCCCTTTCCTAGGCAAGGGACTCTGTTCCGCATGCACACCTGTGTACTGGCGTGCAAGTGGCAGCAGCTGCAGCGGGACCACCGATCCCAGTGACCCTGTGTGACATTCACATTGTCTGGACAGAGAGACATAATTCTGTCTCTCAGAAGAAGCACAGAGACAAGAAGAGAAAACAATCTTTATCTCTGCTCCTTTGTTTTTCCCATGTGGAATGTGGTATTAAGATTGTTTACCTGAAGTGATTGTTTGATTGGATTCCAGTGAAGGTTGTTTGGGTTCCGTGACCAACTGGATCCAGCTGTGTCTCGGACTCTCAGCAGAGAAGTCACGAGTTTTGGTAGTAAGGTAAGTAAGAAGTAAGAATGTAGAATAGTCTAGTATCTCTTTAAATAGTATATTAATGTAATATAGTATAGTTTTAATAAAGCTATCCTTCAGCCTTCTGATCTGGAGCCAGACATCATCATTTCTTCCCTTTCCCGGGTCGCTGCATTTTTACAATACCCATGTGGCTCTGGGGTCTACCAGCTGCCGTGACTACAGGCAAGTGAATGAACTGGGGTCTGGTTCCACCCTGCTCAGGCAGGGTCAGCCAGCACCAGAAGCTCAGGACCACGTCCTGGAATATCTCCAAGGATGGAGACTGCAAAATGTCCCTGAGAAACCTGGGCCAGGATTTGGTCACCCTCACCGGGAAAAAAGTATTTCTGATGTGCAGAGGGACCCTCTAGCATTCCCGTTTGTGCCCCTGGTGTCTTGTCCTGCCACTGGGCACCACTGGGAAGAGACAGGCTCTGACCTCTTTGCAGCTTGCCTTTATATGTTTGTATACACTGATGAGAACGCCCTGAGGCTGATCAGCTCTGGGATGGACAGCACACACCAGCGCTGGGGCTGTCCTCCCCAAGGACAGGACCTTGCATTTTCCTGGATGAATGTCAGGATAGGTTTCTGGTGGCCCATTTCTCCAGCCTGCAGGTCCCTCTGGAGGGATCTGTGACTGCCTGGTTTGTCAGCTGCTCCTCCCAGTTTGGTGTCACCTGTCACTTGAAGACACGATGTCCTCTGCAATTTGCACATTGTAAATTTGCACACCCACCCAATATTCAGCTCTCTATACAATTGCCATTGCTGCCTTTTCACAGATTGTGAGCACAACTTAAAGGTACAGAATCCCCCCAACTGCTTTCAAAGAATGACCAGAAGAAAGCTCCAAATGCGCAGATAAAGCATCTTGCAGAAAAGTCTTAATATTAACTGATTCTTACCTGTCTTGTTCAGGATCGGGGTTCATGGAGCACACCCAGTTGTCAGGGTAATTTTTCTCCACTGAGCTCAGCTGGAATGGGAGAGTCCGCCACTTCAGACAGACATCTGTCACACAGACACTTTGCAAGTCAGAAATACACAGCCTGAGACACACAATTTCTCCCATATCCCATGTTTTCCCATAGCCCATTTAAGCACCACACCAAAGTGTATCCAACAACAGTAAGACCAAAAACAAAAATGTGAGACAGTAACAGAATATATTGCCAGTTATTTCTTCGTGCTCACAAAACGCTTGAATGAAACCCTTAAAGACAACCCTAACAAGAATGGTTGGCTTTAACCAACACCAGAGCACCTAACAGTCCTGCTGCAACTGTGACATATACAAACTGAATTGAACAGCCAGTCCAGACATCACAGCTCAGCCCAGCAGTCTGGCTGTCTCGTAATGATACCAAAGTAACACAAATCACAGACATATCCACTTAAAAAAAAAAAAAAAGTATTAAATTTTTGATGAACCAGGAATACAAATTTGTCTTCCTGAGTATTGCTAGCCTACCAGGAAACCAACAGCTTCACAAAATCAAGTTCTGCCAAGAAAATCCAAATGTCCTTAGATCAGGCTCTGGAAGGATATCAATAAGGGAAGACAAGAAGGAGAGCAAACCCCCTCCTCCTTCAGAAGAACCTTGAAAAGACTGAGACAACCATCAAGGCAGAAGAGCCTAACAAATAATTCCACAAGAATGGCCTCACGTTCCTTCCTACAACCACATCCTCAAGTCCCAGGGAGAAAATAAGGGAGTTTAGTGTCCTTCTACCAGGTGACAAAGTGATGGTGTGGAGCTTCCCATTACTCTAACAAGAGCTTAGCCAGAGCTGTTTAGAGGTGCACAGAAGAGAACTTGCATTAAATTCCAAGGTAATTGTAAAAGGTTCCCTCTGTGCTGTCCTAGTGCAGGCCAGTGCATCAGGGTACAAATTACTTGGCCACTTCCCATTGCCTGTGAGGATGTTTTAGATCTTATTCTGGTGCTGGCATGGGTGCCTTTGGTGAGTTCCAGTTTGTATGACATTTCGAAGCCTGCTCTCAACACTGTTACTGTCAGGCACCTGAAGATCAGTTAGTAAACTGAGCAGGAAAGGAGCCTTACACCAGGATGTCACAGAATACCACTGAGTGCAGACAAAGGCAAACTGCAGAGGAGACAGGCCCTAGGAAAGGATAATGATAGTCCATCCCAAATCTCCTATGCATTTAACTGTCCCCATCTGCAGCCAGGAGTGTCCCTCCCCTTCCCCAGAGAGAAGCAACCAGATCAGACGTACCGCACTGAATTGTGGTAGGGATCTCCATGGCTCTCCTACGCTTGTAGCGCAGTTCACTAGACGGAGGCTGGTTCCAGTTTGCTGATAAATAACCAAATTCATCCCAGAACTTGATGATACCTCTCTGGGCTGGAAAAAAAAACACATCCTGCTCAATATGGAGCCTTTATCATAAAATCACCATCTGCACTCTTGGCTGTCATCCAGACACCCAAATTTCTCCTTCCAGACCCTGATAATTGTGAAGTTTCATTACCTATTGCAATATCCTTCCAATACTGAGCCAAATGCTCTCCCATGGCCTTCAGCAAATGTCGATATTCCTTGGCATCAGCAAAGTCTTGTTTATTATGGGTTGGCTCCAGAACCAAATAGGGCACATCCACCACGCCTACCACTCCTCCACATGCCCTGGGAAGAGGGATACAGAGTGACACAGAGGGACACAGATTAAACTGATGGGCTGGAAACCTGAACTGTCATGCAAAATGTAGGATGGGCCTCATATATTTGTACTTGCTGTCAAGATCTGTTTTGCCTATCTCTAGAATGAGGCACTAGTACTAGCAGCGCTTATCAGCACCAAATGCAAGCATCCCATACTGCTGCAGGGATGACTAAAATTTGTGTAAAGAACTCTTTATCAAGAAACCAGGGAAATAGTAGGCAGTACTAAATATAATTTATTTGACAAAGTACAAACTGAAGGATGACAAAATGAGCAGGCCTCAGACTCACGAAGAATTGTTAATGCAAAACATGGTTATTGTACAGCCTAAGTCAGACACAGAAATGTGCCAAGCTTAAGCAAAAAGATTACAGAAAAATCTGCAGGACTCACATGCCGCCCTCCAGCTGTGGGCCCACCTTCTCATACATCTTGATCAGCCGACTGCAGTTGTAAATGAACATGCCGTCCAGGTCGCGTTGCTCAATGTTCACCCCAAAGATAAAATTCAGCTCCTTGGGTTCCTTCAGTGCCCTGCAGGGGACAAAACAGAGCCTCTAGGGATGCTGAAAATAAAGCATACTATTTTCTACTGTTAAGAGAGAGGATATGGAAATCCAGCACTCTTGAGCATTAAATTAATCTGGTAAACTGCTACTTCTGAAAAATACAAAACATTTGCTGAAAGAGCATTACAACCGAATATGAACAAAATACAAAACCTTTGCAATACAGATACTAATTTAGGCTTAACAGATAATTTTTCATTTGTTGTCCTTCAGAACAGATTCTGGTTTTTACTTCAGATGTTTTTATTCAGTGAATTAGTTTTATGAGAGTGCTGTTGCATCCAGACTGGTCCTTTCCCATGCTATTTTGGCTTGTATTTTCCAGCTATATATCCCTTTCTAGATAAAGCATGGAAATTCAGATTTCAATACAAAACTACAGTCTTGATATTCTGATTCTAGAAAGTTTTCCTAATTCCAAATTTCACAAGGCTGCTCCTTAAGTTCAAAAGCTGGAGGATACAACATACAGCCCAAGCAGAGCTTTTTTTTCTGGAATGTCAGGATATCAATTTGCATGATTTCTCCCTTACCTATGCAGCAGATGACTCCAACAGAAGTTGGACCTGAGTATGTTTGTGAACCCATAGAGATTTCTCAATCTGAATCTCTGGTCACCAGGAATTTTATCTCTGTGACGGCCAAAATCCTTGAGATTTTTATCTCTTTGTGCTATAAATCAAACAAAATCCCCGTGTCTCACAAACGAGTCCTGCCCTTCAACATACTAAATTAATCAGGTTCCACAGCTTCTCTGATACCCTTGCTGAGGATTTTTCATAAGAATGATCCTCAGCCTCAAGATGAAGGTATCCTCAAATGTGAGGTCCAAACCAGTAACTACTGCAAGGCAGAGCCTATAGCATGGTCCTGCCCACCCCTCTCAATTTTGACCTGCTTTATATTCCCCACCTGCCCCCATCAAGTCCTTTGCAGTTATGTACTTTATCTTAATGAGGAATTTGACTTCTGCTTAAATGGCTAGCTGAAGATAGTGGAATTCTTTAAAATGTTCTGTTGACTGTCTACTGATATCAAATATTAGGAAGACCTGAGCCATGCATGCATGAACCCTACACAATGATCACCTGCAAATATGAGATCTGAATCTATCTTTATAGTGAAACTTTGCAAAATAAATCCCATAAATAAATAAAATTCATATTAATTTTTTGTTTAAGGCCATCTTTCCTCACACAGATGCAATGGTACCCTGTGACACAACTTCATTTAAAACAGTTGACTGTAATACATTCTTAGGAAACAGCTAAAATAGCAGCTTTTAGTAATTTTAAATCTAAACCTTTGCCAAGAGGTGTTTTGAACACTGCCAATTGCTGGGCTAAAATGTGACCCTTTGGTCTCAGCTCACTGAAGTAGAAAACTGTGATTCATGAGCATGAGCAAGTGTGGCAAAACACCCATTTCAGGGACTAATTTTTTTTTTCTAACTTCTGGAAAAGAATGTAGAGCCTTACACTTCAAGTAACAGCATGTACTCACCTACAAAACAAAAAGGACATCTCCTCATTTTCATCAGAGAGGACAGGAAGCAAAATTATCATCTAAACCATAGAAAATGAAGTGGTGGGTCAAAAGCCAGGGATTTAATTACTAGAAATTTAATACCTGTCCTATTGTCTGGAATCAGATCCAACCTGATCTTACACAGCTTTTGGAAACCAGAAAGCACTTCTTTCATTGATGCACCCAGCATCAGGGAAACAGCAGAAAAACTGTCCTAGGACATCCTCTGTAACTCAAGAATTTTCCAAAAGACAACAGGGATTGGTTAGTACAGAAGCTATCCTATTATACACATCTTTCAGGATTTTTTTCAGTTTTCTGAATGAAATACAATGTTGTGGAAAAGCATGAACCTCTGAACTACTGCTGATCACTAGTGATGAATGCAGGGACACACAGCAAGCCATGTACATGCCCAGAGCATTTTTTTGCTGGTCAGCTCAGTAACAGGAAGTATTTTGCCCATGGGCAGGAAGGGGAGAAGACTATTCAAAAAATTTTTCACTGCACGCTAATGTCACCAAACCCAAGAATTAAAGAACAAAGGTGTAGATGGGAAAGTATGTGGAAGCTGAAGGAAGGAGGTTCTCTCACAAGCTTCTGTATCATTCAGATCCTAGCTCTACCACTTTTAAATTAAAAGCTGTATTTATTTATTTCTTTTCAGCATCTTAAGATGCATTAGATCTATCTCTGGCAACAAGTCTGGGATAGCTCTGACCTAGGCAGCCATGTAAATGGGCATGCACACACATAGGTGGGAATGGAGATGTTCTGTATCCAAATCCCCAGCTTCCTCAAACTCAGCATTTGTTTTAAGAGCATTTGTTCCTGGTTTTCACTTCATTTGAGAAATGCAAAACAAATGTATACGAAGAGTGAAATATTCCTGTGAGTACAACAAAAACCAAAGTTAATTGCCACCAGAGCTAAGCTAGAAGAGTGCCTTGGGATTTCACAGCACTGACTACAACAAAACTCAGCCTGTTCTTAGAAAGCATCCCTAAAATTCCTAAAGCTGTTTCATTGTAATTTGTGAACATTTGTTCATCAGCCTGAATCTTATCTGCAGGTGAAAAAGCAAGACTGAAAAAAAATGATGTGAAAACCAGGTAAGCATTTAGAGAAAAAAAACCCAATCCAGAGACCCACGTCTTCCAGCAGGTAACAGGGGAATACCAGAGGTAACCAGAATAGCGTCCCAGCTGCTCAGTTTAAAAGCCTGTTGTGGTTTGACATGGAAGGGAATTTTCTCGGAAGGAAGACAGTCAAGCCAGTGAGTGATTGGGGTTGGATACTGGCATTTGGGCTGACCAATTGACTGTGGACACACCTCTGAGAACACAGAGGGGTTAAAAGCCAGAACTCCCAGGGGAACTCTCTCTCTTTGGTTCCGGTCAGGGTGCAGTGCAGATTCTCCCCTGCCCGGATCGTGGCTGGGTGAGGGAGGGGAAGTCCTGTGGCCTGACTGAGGTAAGGCCAAAGGGTGGAGGGGCTGGAACCGGGCTGGTCCCCCGCAGATGGAAGGGTGGAGGGAAATCTGGCATGTCTGCGTTCCCCCCCGAGAGTCTCTCTGGAGAGAGAGAGAGAAAGAGACAGCAAAGGTCTATCAGCAATACACTGCGGGGAAGGAGAAGAGCTGGGGGGTAAAGGAAGGTGCCCAGCCGTGGGAGCCAGAGTGGACTTTTAACCCCTTCTTGGATGATGAAAGCTTTGTGAAATATTACTCCTCTTTGATTTGAAAGAGAAGAAGAGAGACAGTCTGGGACCCGAGATGTTAGAAGGAGAAATTCTAGGTGGGAGGAGATGATAGAGAGGCTTTTGGCTGGACTTTTTCTTGTTAACCATAGACTGAACCAATTTTCTCCTCCTGTGGGATTCCTTAAAATCAGAGGGTTTTGAGCTCGTTGCAAAAGGCAGGCCTCAGAGACACCAGGATAGTGATTAGAGCTAAGCAGTAGCTATTAGAGTTGTCAGCAGAAAAATTACATAAGAAGTAGAAAGAAAGGACAAATAGAACAGTGTATTAACGCTTGGATAGAACAACTTCCTAAGTCACAGAAAAGTATATCTGGTGAGATATTTGGAAGGTCTAAGCTTAATAATGGAGCTCTGTGCATTGTATCTTGAGGCTTACAAGCAAGTATTGTATTTGAAATAAGCAAGCATTGTTTTAACCAAAGGTACGTATGCTTATAGTGGTTGGATAGAACTACTGTCAATATGCTTTTGCTTTGTGTGATTGGTCAAAAAGTTTATAAAGTTGTAACATTAAGTTCTTGGTCTGTTGCCTGGATGTGAGCTGTGGACATCTTCCCATTGTCATAAGCATGTAATGAGACTGATGCTAAAAAATAAACAGCTCGAGACACGTTCCACAGCAGTCCCGTCCTGTTTGTGACTTGTACATAGCCCCAGGCCGGCAATACCTCCAAGAGAGACTGCATTTTAGGGGGATGTCTGGTGAGCCAAGAGACATGTTTCAGTGACTACCAACACCGGAGTGGAGTGAACAGAGAAGAGTTGAGGAGGGCGTGGTGATGCCCTCTGTCTTCAGAAAGAAGATGATCTCTGTTCTTGAGACCCTTGGCCCCAGGAGAGGAAGAAAATGGGGGGGGACTGTGGTCCCAAAAATGAGAAACTGAACTGTTGTTTTTCTTTGGTCCTTGGCAAAGCATCCTTGAAAAGAAAACCCCACCCTGTGAGCAGTCTGTCCATCCATGCATGGGTGGTGAGAGCACTATGCATGGAAAGGAGTTCCCCATGCCAAAGATTTTCTCTGGACGGTGCCATGTGTGACATGGAAACACAAGAAGTGGCGGTTGTGTTTCTTGGGGGGGTCTATGGCACAGGAGAGATTCCTCTCTCCCTCGATGGACTGGGTATTGATTATCTGAAGCACTTCCTGATTGGGGGTCCAAGTTGTGTCTCACTGCGGTTTTGGAACTGAGGGGGGGAGGAAGAATGTTTTAGAAGGTTTTCATTTTTTTGGATTTTGCTTTTTTTCTTTTCTTTTCCCTTTTATAGTAGTAGTAGTTTAATAAAGTTTCTCCTTTGTTATTAAGCTTGGGCCTGCTCTGCTCTGTTCCTGATCATATCTCACAGCAAATGATTTGAGGGGTTGTATTTTCATGGGGGCGCTGGCATTGTGCCAGTGTCAAACCATGATAAAGCTCAAGCATATAAGATGCCCATGGACATTTAAGCTTTGAGCTGATTTGAGAACACGCAAAACAGGAGAGCTACATGAGCACCTGGAGCAAACAGCCTAGGTACTCCAGAGTTTGGAAGCCCCTGCACTCACCGCTGCTTTGCATCCTGAATCCTTTTCTTGACGTCAGCCTCCCGCCGCATGGTGATAGCTGAGTTCTGGACATGACGCAATGTCACCTGCAAATAGGCACTGCATAGTCAAGTTGGGAAATTCATAAAATTCACTCAATTTATGATTTTCTGCTCTTTCAGGAAGAGCTGAGAAATGTTTTAAATGTAAAGAAGTCACAACTGGTAGACAGCGACAAACAGTGTGACTCCACATGTTGGGCAAACTTATGCTAAGTTGTTTAAGGATCTACACAGTTGCTTGGAGGAAAATGTCTACATGTAAAAAAAGGATTAAGGAAATTCAAAACAGTGGCAATGGAGTACAAGGAAACATCCAGGGCACTTGGATACTATTGTTTCCATGACATACCAATAGGAAGCTCAGTGATTTTAAACTGGTGTTACTTGCTGACCTTCCTGGCGTCCCTGCCAGCCCTCCTCTCAACTCCTGGCACCAGGGCTCAGCCTTGCCCCTCTCAAAGCCAAAGTCCTACTGGAAGGAAGCAAAGAGGCTCTCTTCAAAAGCCCCTGCCCAAATGCCACAGAGACAGCTGCATAGGCAACAGGGAACAGTCAAAAAGCCTGTAGCTCTAGTTGTTCCCCGGGCCACTTCCACAGAGGCTGTCAGCAAACAGCACCTGGAGTCTGGAGGTCACCTTCCCACGCAGGATATATTGGGGATGTAGGCAGGGGAATGCCAACACACTTCTCACTTGGGCTGCACACCATGTGAAGATGGTGAAACACATCCAGTGGTGATGAAGCCGTGGAGATGCCTAAATGTTGCTGGAAGTTCACTGCTGACTGGAGCCACCACCTGCTTAACTAGCATGCTGCCATGGGGTGCTGTCCAGTCAGCATCACTCCACCACCAGGGCTATGAATATCCCTTGGTGCCCAAAACACGATGTGCTGCCAAAAGCACAAGGCTCACCCTGGACTCCCGTGTGAGATCCCCTCCGAGGCGTAGCTCAAGGGCACGGGCTTTGCTCTCCGCTTCACGAGCCTTCTCTTCCGCTGAAACATACAGGGACAAGGATGCTGTCAGCCATTTGGTACAGACAGACATTGTCAGGCATTCACCCAAAGACAGCAATTTCAGAGAGCCTTTGCTGCACTGATGTGTACAAGGGTACCCTGGGAACACAAAAATGTACAAAAATCAAGCCTTACCTGAGAGGGTGGTCCCACTAACATGGCATCTTAAACATGCTCAGAGGTCACAGTCAAAACTGGAACAACAGCAGGGATAAACTATGCAAAAGCACATTTGAAGGAAGGATCTGTGAGGAAGTCAGCAAGGAGCTGGAAAGTCTAAGGATGCCTGTGGCCCTGCCTACTCTGCTTGGTAATGTGATTCAGAGAAAGGTTCTCACAAAACCAGGACTAAGTTCAGGCTTAAAAAGGAGTTCCAGAGAGGTAATTTTCTTGCAAAGACTAAGGGAAAGGACTACTCTCAAAAACTCTTTTATCTCTGATAATTGCTAAATTTTGCCTGGAAAAAAGACAAATCTGTGCTACACATTACACAGGACCCAGCATTTGGAAAACCTACCCTGCATGTGATCCTTGTATGCAAGAAACAACGTAAAAGGAACTCCCCTTTTGGCCTCTCTCCTAGACAAACAGGAATGCTGATGAGAGGCACATACCACCTTAAGATTCATTCAATAAACCTCATTTTCTGCAAGGAGAATGGACTGAGAACAGTCTTGAGTAAGAAGGAATTGGGGGTAAGAGCTGGACCTGTCCCAGCTGTTTGCACTGGCCCCCAGAAACTTCCCATGTCCTGGGCTGATCCCACAGCATGCACAGCAGGCGAGGGGGAGATACTGCCCCTGTGCCCCGTCCAGGTGAGACCCCACCTGCAGCGCTGCCTCTAGCACAAAAAGGCTGTGGAGCTGCTGGAGAGTGTCTAGAGGAGGCCATGGAGATGCTCCAAGGGTTGGAGCAGACAGGATGTGAGAGCTGGGGTGCTTAGCCTGGAGAAGGCTTCAGATGAGCTTTAAGATCCCTTCCAATAGAAGTCATCCTGTGATTCTGTAATTTGCCAATACAATGGGTGCACACAGAGGGATGGCATAGCTCACACCAAGGCAAAAAATGCCTGCACTCCCACACATGGGGGTGCAGCAGCCTGATTACAGCACACCCAAAAGCCATCTCCCTCCCTGCTCTCCTCACAGGGAAATAAAACTGTGGCTGTGAGACACTCCAAACAAGGAAACACGCCAGTGGAGCGACCTTGCCTACAATTCACATAGGACAAGGTAAGCAAGAAGACGACAGACTAGGGATTACTGGTATCTCTCCAAAAAGCAGCACTTGGTTGCCAGTCAGAAGGAAACTGGAGTTCTGTAGCCAGTCAGTTCACTTAGATGACTACAACACAAATCCCTTTTCCTTTCTACACATTGTCCCATTGGAGTTTTGTTCACCTCATTCCCAGAGCAGCATGGTCTGGGATTCACAGCTGCTTACCAAGAACTGTGCTGCGTGACTAGCCATCATCAAGAGACAGTCTGGCTAAAACAAGCCAACAGGAGGCTGGAGGCTGCTTAAAGCATTTGGACCACTTCAATCAGAGCTTGTAGGGAAGTTGCCGGTGGGCTAAACATACTTGTGGCTAGTGGAAAGAACACAGTGGTAACCCAGAAGGGCAGGTAATCCAGGTCAAACATGCTCCACTAATGCAGTGACAACTGAGACAGCTGACAGGTACAGATACAGTCACAGGGGTGAGGCCCGGAGGCGTAAAGGTGCACATCCTATGCAGGACAGTGAGCACGCAGCAGATGGAACCCATATACACATCCTCCCAGGGGACAACAGGCATGGTGTACCCATGGCACTGCCAAGCACGTCACTGGACACACCAAAATAATCTGAAAGAATATTATTCAGATAATATTATCTGAATTATTATTATCTGATAACATAATAATTATCTGAATTATAATTCAGATAATTAGCACAGAGCTGTTAGCTTTTAGTATTTGATATCTGCATGACTCCTCACCTCTTCCATTTGTTTGCCTCCCCAACTTTGGAAGGGGATTTCCAGAAGTGAGGCAATGGCAATGCCAACGTGCCTCAGTGCAGTACTCAGTCTCGGTTCAGAAGAACACAGAAAGCAAGTGATGGTCTTTCACAGCCACCTTGCCCAGGAATGGTACTTTTCTCCTAGGTCTACTCACTCACTTAGGAATCTGGATACTACAGCTTATTCATGAGGCAAGAAGTTAGTTCCTGGGCAATGAAAAGTGGCTTTTCCTCATCTTAAATATATGCATGTCTTCACTCCTGAGCCATATCTCTTTTTAGATATGCCAAAGCCATGCCACCAACTGCTACCATGTCACATCTTCCCCATCCAGCTATTTTTTTGTAATCCTGTTTTGATTCCACAAGCTCATAAGCTATATCCAGAGAGTCAGCAGTCTCTCAGTGTGACTGATTCCAACACATTCCTTGTAGGCAGGTATCTCTGGCATTCTGGAACTGCTGTTTGCTCAGCTGAGACCCACCATTTGTCACAATGTACTCCTGAGTTTAAAAGAGCAAACTGCAAATCATTCCTGGGTGATGATCCCTCTGGAGTACTACAGACCATGAAGAATTAATAATTTCTACCAGCAGGAGAACAAAAAAGCTTGGTGCTACAGATTAAATGTATTTCCCTACAAGTAAAGCAATGAGACATAGGCCCCTGAGGATAATGCCCCGAGCATGTTTTAGTTCTGGAGCCTCCATGTGTGCTGCAATCTTGCAGTAACAGTCTGAGGTCAGCTGGGAGTTTTTACCAGTGTCCTAAGCCCTTTGCTCAACACCCTCTTTCTCCCAGTGCTCACGATTTTTTGCAGGACAATGGACACATTCAGCAGATGCACAATCCAGCCCTCTGGTAACAAAGAAACTAGTTCAAGAAACTGGGGTCAGTGAATCCTTGATGACAGGAAAAAAGAAGAGTCAGAGTGTGGGAATCCAGGGCTTCCCTCTGGCTGCCCTGGCAGATCTGGGACCCTGGCAGGGGTCAGGAACCCCCCTGGACAGAGCCCCGAGAGACACTGTCTGTGATCTCTGGCCATGGAGAGGAGTTTTCAATCTTACAGGATGAATTACAAGCTCTGAGTGTTTGATATAAGTAATAATTAAGTGTGGCACTGGTGCAAAAGTAAAATTTTAGGATTCTAGATTAGGGGTTCAGAGGGGACAAGATGGAGGAAATTGGGTGTGTCTTGTCCTTTTCCTCCTTCTTCATGCCCTCCATGTTTCACTGTGGTGTTTGCATTTTTCTGTTGGTTTAGGCTGAGGACACACTGTTCAACGTAGGTGACAGATATTGGCACATTATTGTAAATCCAGCACAGGTAGTTTCTGGTATTGAATGTTTGTAACATCCCACTGAGGGCAGAGCCCCACACGCTGCCCTGCAGGACAGAGCTGCAGCAGGGCAGCAGAACATGTTAGAGATAAACAGAATAAACAACCCTGGAACCAGCACAGACTAATTATGGCTTCTTCTTTGGCAACGGGGCAGAAAGACAGAGACTTTCTACAATCTCGGAATCACCAATACCCACAGATTCCGACATCAGAGGAGTCAGCAAAAGTGGTCAGCAAAGTTCAAGAAAGTAAAAAAGAGAACCCGGGATGGGCCAGATGACCAAAACAGAACGCATGAAGAATTAGGTGATCCAATCAGCATTTAATTTTAGACACATAAACAGGACTAACCAATCATGTCTTAGCTAGAGACATGTGAACAGCAGAACTTATTATAAATACAGGCTTCTGTACAATAAAATTGGTTTCACTTGATCATATTGATCATGGCGTGATGTCCCATTTGTGATCCTCCACACCACACCCCAGAGGCACCAGGCCCATTCAGTGATCCCTACACTTTCTGCAGCACTGGGTTGGTTTGGTGATTCCTGTACACCAAAAGCACTGGGGCAGTTCATAGAATCACAGAATCAATTAGGTTGGAAAACACCTCTGAGATCATGGAGTCCAACCTATGACCAGCACCACCATGCCAACTGGACCACAGCACTAAGTGCCACATCCAGTCCTTCCTTAAACACCTCCAGGGATGGTGACTCCACCACCATTCCAATATCTAATGATCCCTTCTGTGAAGAAATTAATCCTAATGTCCAACTTAAACCTCTCCTGGTGCACTTTCAGACTATGTCTTCTCATCCTGTGACTATTCGCCTGGGAGCAGAGACCTGCCCCCACCTGGCTACAGCCTCCTTTCAGGTAGTTTTACATGCCTCCTTCTCTCTAAGCTAAACCACCCTAGCTCTCCTCACAGGACATGTACTCCAGACCCTTCACCAGCTCTGTTGCCCTTCTCTGGACTCACTCTTAACACCTCAATATCCTTCTTGAAATGAGGGGCCCAGAACTGGACACAGTACTTGAGGTGTGTCCTCAGCAGTGCTGAGTACCAGGTGGAGGGGAAGAATCACTCCCCTGGTCCTACTGGCCACACTATTTCTAGCACAGGCTGGGATGTCATTGGCCTCCTTGGCCCCCTGGGCACACATCCCCAGGTTCAGTGATCCTTGCACACCCAAAAGCATCAGGCTGCTTTGGTGATGGAAATGTGTGACATTTTAGCGTCAATGGGATCTGTTCTCAGCACTGGGACAACAATGGACACCATTTTTCAGTGCCATATACTAAACTTCACTTTTAAGTGCCATGAAAGCCTCATAGACTGCTTCAGGGAAGAAGCTTCTCTAAATCCTGCTCTTTGCATCTTCTTGAAAAGCAATGGGAATGTGTGCTCAAGACCTGCCCTAGCTATAGGACTCAATGTAAAAATAAATTCACCTATGAGGATTGAGGCACACGGTAAAATCTGCTTAAGCTTCATCTTACCAAGTCTATTTTGCCAGGCTGTACTTCCTAAAGGAGGAACAGGGAATGTGGTAACTCTCACCATTTCACTCTGCTGCTTTTCTCTGGGGCAGGGTCACAGTCACACTGCCCTCTGTGATGCTGTACAGGCTGAATGCGGCACCATGCCTTGTGTATATGACCTGCAGCCACATGCAGACATGCCTAAAGCAGCTCTGACACAGGGACAGAGGACACATGCCTCCAAGTGATTTATGTAACCTACCAGAAGATACAGGTCACATATAAATCATTTACAACTTCCAAGATTCTTCCTTCACTACAGTATTTTTGCATCAAGGGTTAGGGAGGGACACTGCTTTTTGTGTTAAATTTCTGGAGACTTAAGGCAGTTGTAATACAGTTTAATGCTGTATTTATATGCTTGTGTGATTTCTATATGCTGAATATCCAATTATGACAAAGTGAGCTTTCCCTGAGGATTACAGGACTTAACAGGAAAGGAAGATTAGATGGGCAAAAGGTATGCCTGGAAGGGTTAGAACCAAGCAAACCAGGGCTCCCTTGTACACCCAGACCAATCCCTTTACATTAGGTGACAGAATAAAAATCTACTTTTTTAACTGCCTTAACAGGAAAGGTGCAGAACGAAAACACAACCAAAAGCTCATAATATCTTAAAGGTGAGAGAAGAACTGCAGGATGACAGGGCTCAGCCAGGCTTCTGCTGGAGTGGGGGCAAACTGCTGGGACTCCAAGGGTTATCCTGTACATCTGCTACTCAGATGAAATGGTCTCTGGGAACAATGTACATTCCTTCCATTGCATGAATGTAAGTCTGTGTCATCCGTAGTTGCTGCAATAATTCCGTTCCTGAGCAATTCCAGTGATCCCAGAGGCAGGCAACCCCAGGTCACACCAAGGGTTTAGTCCTCCCCCTAGCAACAGATGAATGCATACCCTGACGACTCACCTATCCTTGCCATGTGCTCTGCTTTCTTCACTTCTTGCTCTGCACGGGTCTTGAAGCGGTTCGAAGTGTATTTGTACATCCTATGATGATCAAAATATATTAATTAGCAAACTCAGCAGTAAGGTCAAACCAAAATTTCATCACTGCATGAGAGAACAAGGTCCCCACATGCTACTCTACTATTCCAAATAGATTCAATAAATAGAGGAGGTTTAGATATCATGAACTGGACTTTTTTGGATGAAGCTAAGCAAAATCTTTTTAAGTCAGAGATGTTTTAGTAGTAGCTCCAACCACAATATCCAGTGGGCATGAAATATATCCATATTCGTGTAGCAAATCTCAAGACTTAGAGAAATAATGTCTTCAGAAGTAAAAAAGAAGACTGAATATATATGGAAAGCTTCTCAAAATCCTCCCACTACAGCTAAATAATCTTTCCTGTGAACAGCTGTCCATGGGTGCAGTCTGATCGGTCCATCTCACACAGGGCTATCTCAAAGCAAAACAACAATTTGATCAGAACTTCAAATTTCAACACACTTCTGTGTGTTTTGTATCTGACTCACAACCTTGTAAATTGTGCTGGAGATGAAGCAGCTTTTTTCACCTTCCTTGTGTGCTAACATGCCAAATACAGATTCAAATTCACTGACTGCTGCAGAGCGAGGGATTGGTGTTTGTGAGGCAGAAGATCATGAATGTGCATCACCTCCAAGCACGTCACAAGGAAAGATGACACCTAGGACAAGCAGAGCCTGCAGGAACTCAGATCACCTTAAGACACAAGGTTTTGGATATACCAAGAGGAAAATCCCATCCCAAATGGATGGGATTAATTTTTCCAGTATTTAGCTAAAGCAAAAGCCACTAGAAATGCTGTTCTTACATAGAGGCAAAAACACATGGGGATGTAACACTTGACTGACCAATGGATTGGAATCATGCTTAGATCCTAATGAGAGACAAAATTCCCTCCAAATGGCAGATAAACTGTCAGGATTTGTGAGAAATAACCTTGTACTTATGAAAAGTTTTGGTTAGGTTTGTTTCTGTGGGTGAACACACATGGATGTTGGTGCTGACATCAGATATAGTCTCACCAACAGGAATCCCTTGCTCCCAAATCTAGAAAATTATTACCACAAGCACAGTTCCCGGAAATACATTTTGCTAAACTCATGTTCTGCTATTTATAAGGATTTCTGCCCTGGGGAAAAAGCAAGTAGGTGCTAAGACTTCCAAAAATCACAGTGATTTCATCATGTCAGGAGCTAAAGAGTCAGGATTTTGGTGGTGTCATCTCTAACCTATGTAAGGTTGATGAAAGCTATCTGGGGCCAAAAGACAGTATACACTGAAAGCCAGGCTGCTTTCAACATGTTGGCATAACTACATTACTTCACCCACATCTGCTTGACTTCAAAGGGGAAAATAAAAACACTGAGAAGCAGAGTTAAGCTGAATTATCCCCCCCATGCCCAGCTCAGCAGGCAAGGGCAGCACTTGGGGGGGACCATAGATTCAGCACTCCTTTGCTGTAGAGAGCACTGTAAGCGACTCTGGGGTGTCCCAGATGATGGCACTGTGAACCATCACAAGCTTCATGTTTCATTCCTACTGCCTTGGAGTGTCCTCACAGAGGTACAGGCCTTGTATGTGGCCTGGCTATTTCTACCTGCACAGCCCATATTGCTAAACAAGCTCCAACAGATACCAGGGAAGAGATGGAAGCAATCCTTCAGGAGACACAGGCCACTCACACAGAAGCTGGGAATGTAGTAACACAACAGCAGAGGCTAGTGAAGGATCTCCACAAAACCAGCCAGCCCCTACCATAAGGATGTTATCAGCTCCAGAAAGGTGAGGAGAAGCCTCTCCCACAGAAACATGGGTGGTGACGAACAGAAAACAAGTGTCCTGCTCAGGAAATGCACTGTTATTCCTGAAAAACAGTGCTAGCGCCGCAAAACCTTTTTTTCAGTAAAGGCACTTACATACCCTAAATCCACAGCTGATTTCCATTCATTGTCCACTACCACCAACACTGGAACCTGCAGACAAGCCACTGTACAGGCTTTTCCTTCAGAGATAAGGGCAACCTGACTGACAGCAGGAGGGAGCCCCCTCTTTAAGAACCCTTCAGATGTCCCAGACAACCAGGCTGTAAGGCAGCAGCACCTCCACTGTCTGTTCCCCATCCCTTTGCTTGACCAGGAAGGGTCAACATTTACCTGGCCCAGGCTAATGGGCAAGAAACACAGCCATCTTAATCAGCTGACCCCATGGAGGTCCCTTCCCCTGTGCACTCACACACAAAACAGCACCGGCACAAATGCAAGGGATTAACCCAGTATTAACCTGCGGAGCACTCAACGCCTAGTAGATAAATGGGGATGGTGAGCTTTGACTTCAGCTCTAAAGGGAAAGTGAGGGTGTAAGTGACCCTTTTCAGCAGGTTCAGGGAGAAAAAATGTAAAAAACCCCACACCTATGGCAGTAAAAGCAAAATAACCACTTTCAGAATGGACTGATTTACTGATTTTCCCTTTGGAAAGAGCCACCCAAGGCAGATTTGAGCCCTCCTGAGGAAAAAGCATTTCCTCAACCTGCCCAGAGGACAGCGTGGCATCTACCCCAAGAGCTGTGCTGGCTCTCAGAACCCACAGTGAAGGCTTTAATGGCTTGTCCTGATGGCCACACAGCTTCTGGAGCCCAAAGCTGGCATCGAGAAGCCCAGACAAAAGGGAGCAGTCTGGACACTCTCCAGAGAGGCCCAGTAAAGCCAGAATAATTGCCCTAAGTCTGAGAGGATTTACACTGTGCTCTGCAGGAAGGCCTTGCACAGTCTTTACTGCTCTGTTGCAGGAACGGGGATTTTAAATGTAAATGTGTTTAAAATGTTCAGGAATTTGTACTGGCCTATCACTATAAGCAGATCTATAGGAATCTGCTCAGATGTGGCACAGGCAGATCTGCGAGATACGCCCGCCACTAGCACACATCAGCTTGGGGTTTCTTAGAATAGACTACTGACCACTTGAAAAAGATGACACTGAGGTAGATGAACATCCTAGATGACCTGGGACATCTAATATTGTCATGACGCTGGCAACATCACCCACAATGATGGCACCCGGTCTATGAGTCTCACAAGAAGATTGTCCCTGATGAAATAAAAATCTGTGTCCTCCTCTGGTTTCTCTCCCTAGTACTTTTAATGGACTACAGCACAAGCAAAAGCAGCCCAAGGCCCTCACATGTAGGTAAAATAACAGTCAAAAATCCAGAAATCCAGAGATTCTCTACTCAGTAAACCAGGATTTACAGTGGCAAATTCCCTGCCTTCTGCAGGGAAACAACTGGCCTGGCCAGCATTAGGAGCATTGGGTGTAACATTCTTTTGTTTTGGTCAGGTTTCTGATACCATTTCACACAGTCTCATGTAAGGAGCTGAGGAAGCCTAAGTTAAAAACCAGTCAGGCTCTTCAGGTACTGTCAGTGGCATGACACTGGCCTGTGGCTGCTAACAGTGCCTACCTAGTAGGCTGAGAGTGAGCCCAAAATAATATACTAAAAAATCTACATATACTCTACAAAATTACTACTATTTGAGTCAAATAAATTATGCCAGGATATCTAGAATGCAGACTGTGTGCTCCCAAAGACAGTCTGCCTCAAGCAGACTGAAATAAAGGTTTCCCTTTACCCTCCCATATCAGTAACCTTTTCCAGTCTCTGTTCAGCCAACTGACAGCACACCCCAGCTCACTGTCACAATTTTTGTTTAAGAAGATTTAAAAGGAATATAGGGAAAGCTTTTTCTCAATTCTCTATTCAAACCTGGATTATCTACATATAAAAGCAACTGTTTCAAAGAGCTCAGACTAGTTTCTTTTTAAAACCTAACACCCACCATATGTATTTCCTTCTTCCGCTCAAAAACAACAACACAGTTACCCAACAGTTTTGTGTGAATATGGCATTTCATACAACCAGGATCTCAATTTCTTTGTTTGCTCTGAAAGGGAGCCAAGTTGCACCAATGACTCATGCAATTTTCAAAGGCATTAGAATTTCCACTATGTATCTCTCTTCCCATAATGTCAACATCCCATGCCATTCTCTTATGGTCCGATTCTGTGGCGCTAGGGTTAGAAATGGAATTATGCAGGATACACCTGGAGAGCAAAACACTACACCTTTTCTCTAACTCCAAATGGTCCCACACACCTGCAACACTTACCTTGGCTTGTAGAGGCAGCATGAGAGTCGTTTGGTTTGTACTTTGTGTCCATTGATGAAGATCCTCATCCTGGGATCAATATAAAGCACAGCAGCATAGGCACGGAAGGAGCGGCGCTCTGGCTTGCTGCAAGAGAGCCATGTACTTCAGAAAATGCCTAAGAGATACCCTGAGCAAAACAAACAGGTGAAAGAAAAGGTCTTTCTGTTTTAATTATCATGAAGCTACATTAAGTCTTTAATTTTTTCTTCTACTTATGTCTTCTCCAGACTCTTTGTTGAGCTGTACATCATAACTACTGTTACAAGACACTGATACTCATGTTACTGCAGCCTGAAGAGGGAGTTTGAATACATCTGGATAATAATGGCCAAAGGTATAAACGGGACTATTTAAGACTAAAAGTGTGCTCCCCTACCAGAGCATTTCCACCCTTCAGTGAGTTAGCAGTACGCTGCCAAAGAATCTGCACTACTCACTGACACACGGTACCACAACATCAGAAAGAAGAGGCAGTGATCACTGGCAATCATGCCTGCATTAAAAACAGGCATTAAAGATGCTGAGATCCCTTGGACGGCCCCAAGAATTTGCTCAGTGACATCACTCTAATACATAGACAGAGCTGCTTTACTGAGTCTGAAACTTCCTATGGAAAATTCAAGCACTGCAGGGAAGAAGCATGTAATCTCATCAAAAAGGTAAAGCTTGCTAGGTGTACCCATGGAGCTCTGGGACTTAATCAAGCATTTGGCTCATTTCAGCTCAGTTTTTTGTTTTCAGGCTACAAGTGATCAACTCAGCAAACATTCAGCTCTCTCTAAACACAGGCCTGTGCTCTTCCAGTTGCCCTCTGAGAACATCCTTCTTGCCCCTCTGCAGGAAGAAGTGCTCCCTGCTCCCTGACAGATGTGACAATATACGCCACCTGCCTTCCATACCATCCACCCACAGAAGCTGACCTGAACCGCAATTTGGGAGCAGCACTGACTCACAACCAGCTCTCATTCTGATGAAAACATCATTGGTAGGTGTAGAAAATGAAACATGAAGCTTAGGGCTCCTTTTTTTATGATGCCTACAGGACACTGAGTCTTCTGCTTTGGCTAAGCTGAGATCAGTGAGTGCAGGCATTTACCCCAAACACAGCCACAACACCCAGGGGCTGATGCATACATGAACCCCAAACTGCTTAAGAACAAACTACAGATCTTCTAAATTCTCTAATTCACTACAAAAAGAGAATCTTAAAAAAAAAAAACCCAGGTACACAGTATATAACAAGCCCTACACCAAATTTTATCAGGGCCTGTTACACTAGTCACACTTACGTTCCCTCTGGGGGTGTTTCTGCCATCTGAATATCTTGAGGGTCAGAAGTCACATCCAGCTCTGGCTCTCCATTATCCATTAGTTTGAGGTTAAAGATGATCACCAGGGTGCCTGAGCAAGTAACAAGTCAACCAGGTGAATCCCAACCAAACCCCAAATACCTCACTTGTGACCTGCACCATCCACATGTACCTTTCTCGCCACGTATCTTACTGAACTGGTCCATCACTTCCCGTTCTGATTTGAAAGGGGAATACTTGTAAATGAGCTCCGTCTCGATAGCAAATTTCTCCATGTTGTCAGTCACAGGTTCACGGCTCCATGTATTCCAGGTGGGTAGAGGAACGATGACCTGCAAATCCCATTGTATTGAGAGTGACTCAGGCTCTCCCACTGCAGTCAGCCCCTCCTGCAGGTCATGGTCCAGTGACTTACTCCTCCTGACAGCCCCCTAAGTCATCATGAGAGCCCTCTCCAGCTCATTCAGTAGTTTGCATGTCTGTCAAATGCTCACAGACCCTCTTTGCCAGCCTCTGAGTTGCCTTCTTAAAATACGTGTCTCAGAGTGAACCATTCCCAAGTCACATGTATGGTACTGGCTACTCACACTCAATGGCCTTTTTCCCTTTCCCATGTAGCAACTTTCACAATACTAAAAAAACCCACTCTGGCTTAATTCCTCTCTTGAACTCAGATATCCTTCACTCATATTTATCCTGGTATCAGTCTTTGATTTTTTAAAGGACGCTAGCAAGGTGGTTTCTGCCATTTAGAGTAAAAATATAGATACAATTATAAACTGCAGCTGCACATCAAGGACACAAATCTCATTCCAGAACTGTGGTCAAGCCAAAAAAGTAGGCAGAGCTGCTGTGGGAATTAGACTTACTTTACTCTTCCCAACCTGCTTCAGTCATAGGCTTGCTATCAGCATGCACTGCCCCTCCCCAGCTTCTCTGCACAGGTCCCTTCAATCCCCCCCTCATACTAGAAGAATGCTTTCTGAGATACCACCCCAGTACAAATTTAAATTAGCAACCTTGCCTTGAACAACAATGCCTGTGTTATCTATTAAAATATACAAGGTTTTCATAGGTAGAACTACACTGACTTTTTATTAAAAATCAAAAATATCTGTAAGAAGACACACCTGCAGTTAATGACCTGTGGGTAGCAACTTCGAACACCTTTAATTCTCTACACAAAATCAAATCAGAGCAGTAAAATTAAATACTTCTCAAACTCAAATTTCACGGGAAAAGGAAAATGCAAGATGTCTGGGCATGCCCTGAACTTAGCATAAGCACATCTTTAAGTGACTGAAACAAGCCCTTCAAACTTGCTTCCTCTTGAGAGATTTCTCAATTAGAATTAAAACCAAAAGGAAAAAAAAAAATTGTTGACTTTGCAGAAGCTCTACAGCATAATGCCAAAAGAAAACCATACACTGATCCCACCAGAGTCAGAACCAGCCCTGACAGACTTTTCTGTGAGAGCTGGGCAAATTCAGATGAGGCAGCATTCACTATATTAGTTCATTACAAGAAGTACATGCAAACCTCGTCGATGCCTTCTTCCTCATGGAATGTCCGTGATAAGAGGAGGCAAGTCATGGTGCTATCTTTCTTTGTGAACAGGATAAAATCCTTCCCAATCCGCATGGAACCCCTGTAGACAGAGGTCAAACTGTGTGTTACACCTGATGTACCACACTGCTCAGAATGCAGGCCACATTACTGAGCTTTCTTCCCATTGTGTTCAGTTATGAGATGCCAAAACCAGAATTAGGCAGAAGGGCTGAAACTACCATTTTTCTCTAAACATCTCATTCCTTTTAGAAGGCATATCAACCTGGGCATTTTCACAATGTTTCAAAACATTTAACACCAGTCACAATGAAAAGGTGCACACCATTGTAGACTCATGCTATGTAGAAAATTTAAACAAAAATAAAAAAAAAAAAAAAAAAAAAAAGACAACTGAGGTGTGGCAATAACCTTCAAATCTCTGAGCAGAAATGTCAGTGAGAAAGCAAGCACATTCCTCATTTCACTGTACCCAGAATCAAGTGCAGCAGTCTGGAGACAGAAAATTAATTTCCTAACCTAACTAAAGCTTTACTGACACTTCAGCTAAGGCAGCTTAGCAGCTTGTTGTCACAAAAAGGGACAGTACCCTCTTCCTCCCCACTCACCTATCCCAAATAGTGTCTTTGCCTCTTCTCTATCTTCTCTACCAAGTTATCCTGTTACCAAGCTCATTCAAAACACCTTAACAGGTAACAATTAACATTGCATCTCAAGAAGTATTGGTGTTACGTCAGCACATTTCTCTTCAGACTGGCTTAAGTCCATACCACAGCGATACCACAACCTACCTTTCGCATGCTGGGGCTTCAGGCAGCATTTCTCGGATGTAATAAAGTCCACCTCTTGCTCAAGGTTAAGAAAGGACAGAGATCTGTCCTGGAAGCATACAGTCAGGATCTGGGATCTGTCCTGCACTGCAGCTGAACCGACAGTGTCTCAAGATCCCCTAATTTTTCCCCTCCAGGTTACAGGGTCCCACTGATTACCCAATAGGATGCATATAATCAAGCCACATGGGGGAGCACAAAACGGAACAGCTGCAGTAAGTCACAAAGCCCTGTAACTTTCCCAAAAACACAGCAAACTTCTTCCTCTTTCCTAGCAAATCCACTCCAACCAGTAGGATTCCTTTCCCACATGTGCTCCTCTGCACTTAATCCTACTTCTCATTGCTTCCATCATTCCCCTTCTCTCTGCATTTTTTGGTTTAAGTCCATCTGCTTTGCACCAGACAACTTTCCTGTTGGGAGGCTGCAGCACTATTTTGCTCAAATCTTACTACCTGGCTGTAACAGGGAGATGACCATTTTGTTTCCAGCTCTTCCATTATTTTCCCCAAGCTCTTACCTGTACCCTCTGCCTTATGCAAACACAGTGCCAAATCACTATCGTCAGCTGTAGAGAGCCTTCTTGGCCACTGGAAATCTACAGCAGATGTTGAGAGAGCTCCTGTCTACCAAACCACGGGATCTTAGAGTTCATCTTTTTTTTTTTTCTTTTTTTTTTCTTTTTTTTTTCTGGGAAAAAAGCTACACACCTCTGAGCAAAAAGTACATCGATCACCTGGACTATGACCTCCCCAGTCTCAGGAGGCTGGCTCTTGTTGTACGTACGATTTCAAGCCGTTCCCATACTGCCCGATTTGAGTGGACTCAGGTGATCGCTTGGCTGATTTACCAAACTGGATAACACTGGCAGCTTCATCTGCAGCAAGAGACAGGGAACAAAAAAGCCTTATTTCAGTATAGAGACACACACAGACACATCTTTTAGATAGAGAAAGAAGGTAACCCCTTCACCACTAGATATAGGCCAGAAATGAGGCCAGAAGCCCAAGATGAAGCTGCATCCTGAAGCTGTACTGCAGAGCCCTGTGAGATACATGCTGCTTGAGGGCACTGATGTAACCAGAAGATTTGTACAGGTGCCATGATGCTGACAGAAAGAGTTTTAGGATTCAGCCTAGTTCACTGTCCCATCTGAACTGCATGAAGATATTTCTTTTAAAAAATAAAAAAAAATCCGTAAAAATGATCTGTTGCGTCCACCACAGTTGTTAATTCTCATAAATTAAGACCCTAAGATGCAGTGGGTCTGTGGTATCCCATGTCCCACTGACACAACACACTTGAGAGCACTAGAGCATAAGTCAGGACTATTTAAAAGGTCAGGAATCCAGAATAAACACTGCTATTTCTTCACAGCGCTGAACTGAACACTCTGGTTAATTAAAGCACTAGTAGGACACAAGCTAACTTTGGCAGCAGATTGCTGTAGCCCTGGCAGCAGGACAGCTGGGGAGAAAGTCAACATAAGCAGGTCCTACAGCAATTAGCAGAGGATTTCATTAGCACAGGACAAAATGAAAGGACACAATGGCTTTACAGCTAAGAGGGTCTGTCATTTTTAGTTCTAGCCTTTCTATTGTTCAAGGGATAAAGCCTTTTAACATCACCACTAGGACAGAATGACTCCTTTCCCTTCCCCCAAGAGACAGTAATCATTTCACCAGAGAGTTTACTGGGAGAAATAAAGTTTAATTCCAGAGACAAGGAACACAAAGTGCGTTAATGTCAAGGCTAAAAACAAACGTATACACAAGCTATAAGGGAGCACAAAACATCAGTCACCCCACAAGGCAACTACAGGGAGGCTGAGTCCATGGACAAGCTAAATTTCAGCATGCAGGAGACTCCCACAGGCCTATTGGCACTGACCAGTTTTACAGTAAAATATTCAGTATTAACACCATTGGTCTGACATGACATCACTGAGCTGGTGTCAGAATGCCATTTTCAGTTGAAATTATATTCAGATCTAAAGACACAAATACAGGAGAACATCTGTACAAACACCTCGCTGCCTCAACGGCAGTAGTGCCTCAACGGCTTCTCAATGGAGCTCCACAGCTATTCCAGAAACAGCTTTGGACTGGATAAGGGTACCTTTGCCTTCCCTGTAGCTTATTGTAGTAATTTCTAGCCAAAGAAAGATAACACTGGAAGGTCTTGTATTTGAGATCTGGGTAAGGTTGTCAGTGATATAATGATCATCATCATCATCCGATTATTATTATTCTAACTACTATTACTATGTTATTTTTAAAGCTTGGTAAGGAAAGTAGATAGGGCATAATAAAAAGAGAAGGACTAATGGAACCTTTTTGCTCTACAAGCATTTTTTCAGTAACTATTTTTAAGAAACTTTTAGGAAGCCTAAAATGGCTAAAAAGTAATTATCCAAAGCACTTCCCCTCTCAGGAAAGGTGACCAGATGATTTATCATTCAGTGCTGGATGTCTGAAACCACCCTATTATGACTCTTCTTTCAGGTCAGAGGGATGAAGGCGATGCTGAGCAGAGGGGAATGTGAGGTAGCACCTCTCTACAGGCTGTCTTTAGGAGAGATTTAATACTTATATCCCACCAAGAATCAAGACACAGTTTTTTTTTTTCCCAGCTCTTTATAGGCTCTGGAGGGTGTTTCACTTAAGGCTATTTTAGTCACACTATTTTTGTTTTGTTGTATCTCAGAGTTACTGGATTTAAAAAAGCCAAATTCCCCAGCAATAAAAATAGGTGAGGGTGATCTATGCAGAACAAAGAAGAGAAAAAACAAGCTGGAAAAAATTCACTCAAAATGGCAGGATTTAATTCATTACCTGGGGGAAATTAGCCTAAAGCTAAGTTGACCTTTCCCGAGGAGAGGGGAACAAGGGAAATGCTGTGAGGTCTTTTGTCATTGTAACAAACACAGGACACCAACTCCACATGGGGTAATGACTGGAAACAGACAGTGACTGACAAATTGCTTTGACATATGTTCCTGTAAATTATTTTTAAACTCTGTTAACTTTAGAGGAAATATAAATGCTTAGGTTAAACATTTAACCTTAAACAAGGTTAAAGAGACGTTTTCTCTTGAGAATTGTGTAGACTACTCCCCTGAAAGTGGCCCCCAAGAGTCACTGTCCACACACACAAGTGTGTACACACTCTAAAAGTAGGAGTTGGTCTAAACTCCCACTAAAGTTGGAGTCTAAAGTTCCAGTTCCCCACCACTGTGAGCCTTGGATAAACAGTATTTTTAAAATACAAATAAAGCAACTGCTAAAATGCTACATACTAAACACTAAAATACTAATAAAGCAACCAAGACACTACTACTTAATTAACTGCTTCCATTAAAACAAAAGCTGTTTTGAGCTTCCAAACTTCAAAAATTCAGTTGAAAAAAAGCAAGACCTGATATATTTGCTTCAATCTCTCAAAAAGCAACAGAATAAGCCCTCTTAAAAAGTATCAGAAGCCAGACAAGGCAGGTGACTGGGTTAAGTCTGCAAAGGTTTACAAAGGCAAGTCACACCTGACTGATTTGGTCACCTTCTACAAGGCAGCACTTTCTGTCCATATGAAGAGAGTAGTGGGTGTTGTTTGGATGGACTTCAAGAAAGTGTTGCACACAGTTTAACACAGCCTGTTCCTGGACAAACTGGGGTCAGACCGGGCAAGTGGTATACAAAAAAAGTAGGGAACTGGCTCATGGTTCATGCTCAGAAGTGATCATCAATGGTTTTCACTCCGGCTGGCAGGTTGTCACAAGCAGAGACACCAGGGACTGACGCTGTGCCCCACACTGCTCAACATCTCCATACAGGATCTGGACAGTGGGGTGCTTTTGAATCCTCACCAGTTTTGTCGATGGGGGTAAATTGGGCACATAAGGAATGCTTTCTTAAGACACCTGGACCAGCTGAAATAATGGGCAAGCAACATTGCGTCTGAAGTTCAAGGGAACTGCAAAGTCTTCCACCTGGAATCAAATAACCCAAGAGCGCGGCACAGACTGGAATCTGCAGGTTTGGAGGAACAGCCTTGCTGGAAGGGTCCTGGTGGACAACAAGCTGAGTATGATCCAGCAGTGTCCCACAACAGCCAGGATCCTGGACTGTATCCACAGGGACATTGCCAAAGAGATGGAAATGTGATTATCCCACTCAACTTTGTGTTTGTCAGGCCCTACATGCTGTACTGTGTCCAGTTCTGTCTGCTCAATTCAGGAAAGATGCAAACAGACTGAACAGGGTACAAAGGAGATTATCAGAGGGCTGCAGAAACTGCTCTATAAGAACTAGGTCTCCTTCCTTGAGAAGAGGGGGCCCAGGGGGAATCCCATCATAGTACTACAGTACTTGAAGGGTAGCTACAAAGGCTACCCTTCCCTAGGAGCCACAAGAAAAAGAGGCAATAGATACAAGTTGGACTGGGAAAGGTTTCTTCTTAAAATAAGTAAGACATTTTTTAGAGATCAATCAGTCATTTAATCAATCACTAGAACAACATCCCCAGGTATGTGGTGGAGTCCCCATCACTGGAGAGACAGGGTGCTAAATCATCTCTTCCCTTTCCCAGGAAAGGCTGGAAGAAATTATCATTGAGGCACTTTCCAACCTGAGCACTTCTGTGACAAAAATGTCAGGTAGAGACTTATTTTCTTCAGTTGCTTAAGAATAAAACTGCAGTCACTTCCTAAACTAGTTATTATACTTTCTCAACCTACAAGTTGATTAATTGAATCATTCAACCTGTATTTTGATTCTTTAAATTCACGCAGCACTTCCAGAGCCAGGCATTAGGTAAAATTTCAAGCCTGAGTGGTGATTTCACTGATAGTATGAGAAATCTGATATGCTGTATGAGATCTACTGTTTGGTTTTCTATGGACTCCTATGTAGTTCCTTACAAAAGAGCCAAAGTTCTGGACTATTATTGCCTTATTGCCTGTATTGGGGGCAGAGAGTATTTACTGGATAATGATATATTTACTAATATTGAAAATTAGAAAAAGGCTCTTCACCAAAAGGGTGGTCAGGCATTGGAACAGGCTCCTCAGGGCAGTGGTCATGGTCTCAAGCCTGACAGAACCCCAGGAGCATTTGGATAACTCTCTCAGGCACAAGGTGGGATTTTGGGGTGTCCTCTGCAGAGCAAGAAGACAGACTCCATGATCCTTGTGGGTCCCTTCCAACTCAGAAGATTCTATAACTCTGATATCTCTCTGCAGGACATGGTGGTTCCTTTGAAAAGAGCTGTCCTGTAACATCACTGAATCCTTGGACCTTATGATAACTCATGAGATGTTTCCAGCTTGAGTACAAATGTATTTTGATCTTGAGACCACACAACCCAGAGTGATCATTAAGAGAACCAATGCAGCGAGTATTAAATGCAACTGTAGCAGGAATCACTTGACAAACACCCCTAATGTTTAGAAATGAGGAGTTGTCATTTGTCTTGCTAATCAGAAGCCATCAGACAGAGTAATCAAATCTGACCAACTGCCTCACTATATCCTTCTGTTTTCAGAGCCCGACAGACAAATCTAGAATTGCCCAAGACAGAACAAGACCAAAGAGAACATCAACAAAACAGAGTAACACAAAGAATGTGTTACTGGAACAGTTAACTTGAGCCCTTTAGCTCTTCCCTCAGTTTAGAAGTGCCGAGATGCAACTGGGTTTATTCTCTCATCATGCCCAGATGGCACTATATGCAGCCTT